TGGCTGGAAATAAAAGCGGCGTTTATCATCGAGTAGAAATGCATCTAGAGTGGCTCATCACTGAATTACAGTAGCCGTAAAGCGTGTAGCAATCCAGGAAATATAGACATGGAAAGCATACACATTTAAGTGTTAAGTTTTGCATGTAACCGTACGCAACGATAGCCCTACGTGACCTTCAGAAGTGTAGTGAGATGCGCATTTCCGAGTCGGTCAAGAGGCATGTCTTCAGTTTCCTTTTCTCTGCTTCCTCCAGCAAAAAAAAGAGGAGAAGCATGAAGCTCCTAGTGTTGGGCAGACCGGATCTACACTAAATGACATAGAAAATGCAACACCTACTATACTACAAACTATTTAAAACTGTAATGACTCATACGCGTGATCAACACGTGATCAGAGCTCGATCCCGGCTTCCTTCCAGTACAGCCGTATAGCGTACGACATATGTCGTTTCTGTAGCTTTGCGGTGGTCAACAGCACAGACAGAGATGGAAATAATGGCTGATTGTTCTCCGCCGGTAGAACCAATGAAATCAAAGACGCGCCTCGACCGGCAGACTCATAGGCGTCGGCAACGCATTGGAACGTGTTTCGTTGAGCGATCGCATATTGTGTGTTTTTATAAGATTTGTTGTGCGATTGTTATTGTTGTGGTTTCTGAGGTTACTGTTTTGGTTATACTTAACCATGGAGAGTACAAATGGCACGAGCGGAAGTACTGAAAGCCAGGGAACAAGTAGACGGCTTCGTAAAGTACTGAAGAGGGACGCGAAAGAAATCGTGCTCAATACATACATTCATTCTTCTTTAGGAATGAGATACCAACCCTCAAGGCTGTACATGCAGCGATCAAGGAAAATGAAATTATACCCCAAATGAGCGTCGAGGTAATGAGGAAATCCTTGCACGAAATTAATTTTCGTTACGAAACGCGTAATCGGAAGTCAGTATTGATAGAGAGACCTGAAATAGTCGCCTGGCGTCGAAAATACCTACGCGAAATGATTGAATATAGGCGACAAAGCAGAAAAATCTATTATTTGGACGAGACATGGGTAAATGCAGGTCACACAGTTAAAAAAACCTGGATAGACAAAAACGTAGTGAGTAACCGACAAGCAAGCATTAAAGGTTTGTCAATAGGTCTTCGTGGACCGTCAGGGAAAGGTCAAAGATTGATCGTAACTCATATTGGTAGCGATAGTGGCTTTTTAGAAGAGTGTGACTTGATTTTCGTCTCTAAGAAAGGAGGTGATTACCATGACGAAATGAATGCCAGCTGCTTCGAGAGCTGGTTTCAAGGGGTGCTTCAGCGAGTTGAGCCCAACTCTGTGATCGTCATGGATAATGCTTCCTACCATAGTCGTCGAGCCGAACGTGTACCGACTATGGGATCTCGAAAAAGTGACATGCAGCAATGGTTGCGCGAAAAAGGAATCCCGTTTGACGATTCATGTGTGAAAGCGGAATTGTATGAAAAAATTAAACAGCACAAACCTGCGAACATTAGTTACGTGACTGATGAGATGGCCCGTCAATGTGGTGTCACTGTGCTGCGGTTACCGCCCTACCACTGTGAACTGAACCCAATAGAGCTCATCTGGGCTCAAGTGAAGGGTTATATTGCGCGCCATAACACAACCTTCAAATTACCAGACGTTAAGGTTTTACTTGAGACTTCCATACAGCTAGTAACGCCCGAAGCTTGGCAGAATGCTATCCGTCATGTTGTGAAGGAAGAAACAAAAATGTGGCAGATTGACCACCACATCGACACCATCATAGAGCCAGTTATAGTCAATTTCACCGAGGAAAGCGATAGCGACAGTTTATTACTGTCAGATTTAAGTGGAAGCGACGATGAATAAAGGTAATTCCCAAATTTATGACTTACAATATGTTTCAAACCACTCTTTATTAAGCATGTGACAAATCTAGTTCAGCCATGTTAAACATTCATACCCCGCCTATGAACAGCCGACTACTGGTAGTTAAGTGATGTTCACGTGAACATCGATGAGTCATTACAGTTTTCGATAGTTATAGTATAGGAGTGCTGTGATTTTGAGCATACTTTTGGTGCCTCATTTTTCATTTAGATTTAGTGTTGATGCTGACAATGAAAACGTTTTCGAATAAAAACACTTTTTTTATACTCCAACTACCACGAAGGCCTAAGGCCTAAACACCCATTGGGTACCGTGGGGCTATAGGGGGATACAGGGGAAAGGGGAACGCCACACGGACTCTGGCGATGGAACACGTGTGCATGCAACATGCACACATTCTGCCACATCTGCCGGGTGGTACCTCCACGTTCGACAGTCAGAGACCGTCTACCACCTACGGACAATCACAACATCCATAGCCAAGAGAAAAATTTCTTATGGGACGGGACTCGAACCCGCACAGCGCACGGCGACTGATCAGGAGACCGAAGAGTCTACTACTGCGGCCACCGCTGCTGCCTGGTGAAATCCAATGTTATACAAGGCGCAAGAGGGCCAGTGCCATAGTGAACAATGACTCAGATTGGTGCCTTTTTATGTCTAATTTATTTTTTTTTTTTTATAAATGACGTTTGATCTGCATTTAAAGTTACCCAGTTTAAATGGTTTTATTTTAATAAAACTTTGTGAATGTATTTATCTTACTGTAAATAACAAGTGAAAAAATGTTCAGCCTTATCAGTTGGACATTCCGCTTTTTATACTGCTTTTTTTAATTCACTAACGCTCTAAAAATGAATATTTCAGCAGCAGTAAAGAATCAACGTTGGCGGATTTTATTTCTTGACATCCTTTACGATCGGTTACGATGCCTAGAGTACGGAGACCTGTCCGATTTCGTCAACTTAGTGAGTTTGATAGGGGCCGTATAGTGGGACTTCGGGAAGCTGGACTTTCTTTTCGGGCAATTGCAGTTAGAGTGCAAAGAAGTGTAGACACTGTGGTTAGGTGTTGTCAGGCATGGCTTCGAGAAGGCCATACGCAAAGAGCAAGGGGCACTGGACGCCGCCGTAGAACAACAGACCGTGAAGATCGCCGTCTAAGATTATTGGCCTTAAGGGACCGTTTCTCCACTACCAGGTCCATTGCAAATGAATGGTTTGCAGAACACGGAAGACCTATTGGCATGCGAAGTGTTTACCGACGAATGATAAGTTTTGGCTTGTTTTCATACCGGCCACACTGGGTCCTCCCTTTAACTCGAGAACACCGACGTAATCGCCTTGAGTGGTGCAGACAACGGTCACTCTGGGATCAGGAATGGAACAGTATTGTCTTTAGTGACGAGTCTCGATTTTGTTTAGGCATGCACGATGGTCGTGCCAGGGTTGGAAGGCGACGTGGTGAAAGGAGGAATCCACAGTTTTTTGTTGAAAGACATGTTCATCACACTGTTGGAGTTATGGTTTGGGGTACTATAGCTTATGGTTCCAGGTCACCTTTAATCTTCATCAGAGGTAACATGAACGCGCAGCGTTATATCCACGAAGTTCTAGAACCCCATCTTTTACCCTATCTTGACACCCTGGCAGGTCCAACTTTCCAACAAGATAATGCCCGACCACATGTTGCAAGAGTCACAATAGACTTCTTTCAACATAATGATGTCACATTGTTAGCATGGCCACCAAGATCTCCCGACTTATCCCCAATTGAGCACGTGTGGGATATGATGGGTAGGAGATTGCTCAATTTGCAACGTCCTCCTCAGACTCT